GAACCATTGTCGTGAAAGTTTGTGCTTGTGTTTTGCAAAACCATTTGAAAGCAGTAAATTATCTAGAGAAAGAGATATAATAATATGCAGACAAACAACTAAACAAAAAGAGACGAAAATGCTGCTCTGATACCACTTGTTGGTCCAGTTGTGTCTACAAGAGTTTTAGAGAAACAGTTTGTAGAAGAGGGGGGTGAATACAAACATAGACAACTTTCAAATTTAAAAATATATATTGATAAAGAAAGATCAATACAGATTTTTACAAGATTGTATGCAGAAATAGACAAGGTAAAGACAACCTATCTAAAACAATCTAAATTTACACACAGATAATCTTAGCAAAGAGAAAAGATTTGCTGAAATATAAAGAAGGAAATAAGTTCTTCTTGAGTAAGAACTTTTAGAATACTTAAGAGGGATTCTAACTTGCTTGAAGATAAGCGTAAGTGTTCTTAGATGTGTGTGATCTCTTGTGTGTATGCATGTATTAGTTTGCATAGAGAGAACACTCATCTATTTATACCCATTGCATTAAATGCACATTTAATGCAATGCAGTAGGGTTTGAACACGCGTCAAGATGTTAAAGAAAAGCTTGTCCTTTGCTGTAGTGAATAGTTCAAAAGCCTATTCATAAGCAAACATCCTTCCATGGAGTTGGTGGGTAATAGAGTCAACTAGTCGGCTCCTTACTGTACTATACTCTAGAAAGGGTATGGTGTTGTTCTCTGTGTGTGGAAGGACAAGACAAAAACAATCTTGCACAACAAGCTTCATTTGATCGCTGAATGTTGGAATAACGCTGAAGGTCTCTTCAACATTCATTGAGGCTTGGGCAGTCCTCACACATATGTTGACCAGGTTGTAATCACTGAATGCCGCTTCAGATCACGAACGCGCAAGTCTCTAATCTTCAGTTTCAGTCTTCGACTTTTGCTGAAGGTTCTTTGGTGTGAGTTTTGTCTTTTTGAAGTAACGTTGTCGCTGTAGGATTTACAATACATGTTTCAGCGAGCACTGAACAGACTCAGTGATGATCGCTGGAACTGAAAGACATAAACATAATATTTTGAAATAGGTAAAGGGGATTATCATCAAATCAATGAGAGAGAGGATCAACAGTATCCCATAAAAAGAAATAAGAGAGAGAGATAGCGGACATGCCCTTGGACATCTTGAGACACATGGTATATTGATCCCATAATTATGGCAAGCATTCAAGAAACTTGGTTAGTCTCAGAGTTGGAATATTCTCTTCCAACTGTCTTCAAATCGATAAGAAGACAATTAAAACGTTGATGTACTCCAGACAACGATTCATTCTTTCCACAAAGAAAGTTTTCATATTGTCTTACTAATTTAATCTTTCTCGATTCTTGTACTTTAGTAGTACCTTCATGTTGAACACAAAGAGTGTCCCACATAAATTTCGAGGTTTTGAGTTTCATCATAGGGTGATATACCTCGTCAGGAAGAGACATGGCTATAATAGACCTTGCATGAGTGTCTAAATTCATCTTCTTCTTGTCTTCATCACTCTACTGATGAGGGAGCTTTGGAATTTGCTGTTCAGGAATCGCGGTAGTCGTAGCAGTTGCAGGAACTACTGGAGATATAACATATGGAACATAGGGTCCATTTTCTATATAGTATGGATTCTCAGGATCCACACCTTCCAAGAAGAGAGACATCCGATTCTTCCAGAGACTAAAGTTGTCTCTTATGAAACGGGGAGGTTTGGCAAGAGAGTCATTGTCGTGAAAGTGAGTGCTAGTGTTTTGTAAACTATTTGTAAATGAATAAATTATCTAGAGAAGAGAAGATAATAAAATGCCGATAAACAACAAAACAACACAAAAAGCAAACATCGCTTTAATACCACTTGTTGGTCCCAACTGGATCTATAAGAGTTTATAGGTAACAGCTTGTAGAGGGGGGGATGAATACAAACACAGAAACTTTCACTTTTAAAATTATATATTGAGAATGATCAATACAAATTTTACAAATTGTTTACGGAAGAGATAAGGTAAAGAAAACCTATCTGAACAATCTAGAGGTACACACAAATACACTTAACAAATAGAAAAGATTGATGTAAGAAATTAAGACTTGAAATGTGTTCCTCACTTGCTTGAAGTGGTTCTTTCTCTTTAGAGAGTAGAGGGAGGTGTCTTCTTGGGTATGCTTCTTAGAATGAGAAAGATAAATTCTAATTGCTTCTGTTGTCTCAGTGGAGAACACCCAGCTATTTATACTCATTGCATTAAATGCAATTCAGAAGGTACAAAACACGTGTCAAGCTTTTGGAGGAAAACTTGTCATTTGTTACAGTGTAGACAATAGTCGTTTTGTCTATTCATGAGCATACATCTTTTCATAGATTTGGTGAGCACTAGAGCCAACTAATTGGCTCTATACAATACTATGCTCTAGAAAAGGTATGAGTTTGTCCTTAGTGTGTGGAAGGACAAGTCAAAAACAAACGTGCATGGTAAGCTTTATTTGAATGTTGAATGCTGGGATGACGCTGGAGGTCTCTTCAGCATTCGTTCAGGCTTGTGCCGTCTTCACACATATGTTGACTAGTTTGTAATAACTGAATACCGCTTCAGATCATGAACGCACTAGTCTCTAAATCTTTAGTTTCTGTCTTCGACATTGCTGAAGGTTCTTTGGTGTGAGTTTTGTCTTCTTGAAGTATAAAAGTCACTGGAGATTTCGACAGGTAAAATGGATTATCATCAAATCAATGAGAGATGATTAACAGAAGGTATTAAAAGGGTAATCTGCAGATTTTTTTCTTGTACATCTTATAACCATCTCTAATCGATTCTCCAAAATGAAGATTTTGGAGTCCGATAGAACCTCCAAAATGGAGAAAGTAGGAGAGAAAGGATAAAAATTCCAAATTTGGAGAACTCTCTGAAATAGAATGCTTTTCTTATCTATACTACCTTATCTAAACAACCCCTAAATCATAACACCATTTACATAGAATTCCTAAGGCATATTAGTTCATCCCATATGTTAATTTGATATATTGTCCACTTATTTAAAGTTTGATAGGTAGAGTTGCAGAAGCAAGTCCTTTTCTTAAACTGATGGGAGTCTAAATTAGAGAAATGAGTCTTCAACATCATATAAGAAACTAGCCTAATTGGAAGATCGATAGATGAATGATATCATCTTTTATTTTCGAGATGATAACCCATGTGAATGTTGAATAACCCTACACACCAATACACTAAGGCTGCAAAATTTGGAAAATTGTTTCTATGTATCATTTAATGCAGACGCATGGATTAATAGATAGAAGTATCTAATTTTCTTGAATGAAATGATTACCATAAAAAAGTAAATGAAGAATCTGCAATGTTCAAAGAACACAAAATGAGAAATAGAAATCTAAATGAATATAGATTATTAAACAAGTGAATTATATCGAGTATTTTTGTTTGATTTTGGATTGCATTTTCTGTTGATGTAGCTATTGTGTTGAAAGGAGAAAAAGATAAATCAAGAAGGGGAGTTGTGATTCAAATGTGGAAGTTGTCTTAAAAGTCTTAAAAATCTCATAGTTACAAGATTTTAAGTTTATGTACAACTTCTACCAGCATTGTTATATTCTCAATACTCCACTCATTGTCGGTCAAGTAGTTTGGGTTCTCAAGGTACCGGTTAAGTTCTAAAGGACCCGATTCATATTCGTGAGGCAAGGGTGTCGATTTAGGGTTTGTTCAAAAAAAATTGTTGTACATCTCTTTATGCCATTAACTCTTAAAACCTTTTGGGTTTTGGTCTTGGAGACTTCTCCTCTATTATCAGTTTACCTTTCACTTTCTTGTGTTGTTGTTACTAGGTTTGTGTAATCGCAACCCATCAATTCGATTGGGTGTTTCTTTCTTCTTCTACATCTTCATACCAATTTTACTTTTTGTATACTACCATTTTATGTGGATATGGCTTTTCGGTTTTCTTAGACATCTTTGATTATAATAGTCTCCTTGTTTATCGGCTATATCTTTCAGAATTGGGCATAATCTAATGTTTTGAGCAATATCTCTTCATTTCAATGCCTAATCTTACAACATTTTTCATTATCGTAGTTTTCTAGAACTAGAAGAGTTCTGGTCTACCCACTTTGTTGAAGTGGATGAGCCAAAGATTTTTCGTTTGCTCTTGTTTCAGTTGGGGCTTTTTTCCCGCGAAAAGGGTTAAAATTTGTGATATATGAGTTACATTTATCATCTTTTTTCTATGAAGGAGGTTTGATGGGTGAATGTGATGACCATGATGGGATAAATTGAGATTGGATGCATTTTAGCCCTAGCCCTAATCCAAGATGTAAAATTCAAATTAATTTTTTTATACTTCAATAGATATTTATATTAGGTTAGATTGGTTTAAATATATTGGATTTTAAACTGTCATACAATTTCTCTCATCGATAGACTGTAAATGTAACCATAACTTTTATTTATTCAAATTGTATTAATATGTAAAGACGAAATGTAAGTTATATCATCGTTAAAATCTCCTATAACAAAACCACTAAAACTTCAAAATCGTCAAAATTCAAGGCTCCCGTATTGTGCGGATACACAACTAGTATTAATAATAAAATAACATTGAAATTTGTTAATTAACATATTATATTATTAATGAATCATTTTAAATATATTTATGAAAGGTTAAAACTTATTGATTTTTATATATGTCATTTTTTTATCATTTTATAAACTTTAACTAACTTATCAATCAATTTTACTAAATATATTTACTTTATCAATTAATTATGTGGTATCAATTAATGTAAAAAAACTTTAAAAGTAAATTTTTTTATTTTTAAAAAACCTTCCCAAAAGCTATGAAAAACACATTTCGGATGCACGAGGAGCACGTAGGGACCAATTGTGTAAAACTAAAAAAAGCATTGAATATCAATACAAATTACAGGGACGAGGTTTCAAAAAAATTCAAACACAGAAACAGAAGCCGCCTCAAGCGTCCGCCCCTCAGGCCCCTGTTCGACTGTTCTGTTCGCAAGGCACGCCGGTCACCTTTTCCGCCCAGTCGCTCTCTCAGGCTCTCACTATTTCGCACTCACTCAATCTCCCTCTCAATCTCTCATTCAGGTTGATCCCAAAACCTAACTTAAATTTAAACTTTTACCCTAAATTTGATATTAGTCATCCTCTTAAATTGATTAGTTATAATTTATAATGTTATACAGTTGTGAATTATGTTTACATGATTTCATTGATTTATTTACATGATTTATTTGTTTGCCCTAAATTTGATACCAGTCATTTGCTCTAACGGTTGATAATTAGTCTTAATTGATTAGTTATAATGTTATAACAATTATGTTTACATGATTCTGTTGATTTGTTTGCGTGATTTATTTTTTTGTTTTGAGTTCTTTACCAAAAAACCGAAAAATTCACTCGGAATCAACCAAAAAACTTAAAAAGTCCCGGGCAGAATTCAGTGAGCTGCTTTGCGGGCAATTGATCCAATTAAAGGTCCACCTATTCGACAAATATCCCAGGTCCACCACTGAAGGGCAACTGGGGTTTGAGTACATGAAGGTAAAAGGAGTAAGGGGATGCTATCATGCTGTAGCTAACAATGCTAACAACCAGACCAACTGTAGTAGCTGTTGAATTTCCAAAACACGACTAACAAAAACCAGAGCAAAACAAGTAGGAGTATATGCATGGAAAATACAGTCACTTACATATGCACCATTTGTATTAAATATTCTCTGAGGACAAGATAAAGCTTCTCTTTCAACATAATTGAAGATGTGTTTTGGATAGATTTTATGTGCACGGGGAGAGAGAGAGAGAGGGAGAGAGAGAAAAAAGCCCTATTACGGAGCTGAAAATTGAGAATAAACTTATATGGTAATTTGCCTTTCATGTCGTAATACTTCCAAATGTTACCCTCTATTAGTTATAATACTTTCGAGCCTACATTACACGATGTAATGATGGCAATCCTGGTGCACCAAGGCATCTTTGCGTTACAATGGTTGGGAGGACTCTATTATTCGTATTACTTGCAAACTTAGAATTATTAGCATAGTACGAGAGCTACTCCTGGTTATCTTGCAATTTGCAAAGAGGCTACCATTTAATCACAAAAAAATTGAATTGTTCTTTTTTGTTTTCTATTTTATCTCTGATCAGTAGAATTATGCATGTCATTTCCATTTTATTATATTTTTGAATTTTGGGTGCTATAAAATCTGTGTGGTGACCTCTGCTACAGAAATTTATTTCATTAAGTTTGTATATCTATATATCATGGCAGTCTGATATGTTCTTTTTAACAACTCTATCAGTCAATCTAAGAGAAGTTCAATTTGTACCGAGAATTGGTGACCATAAGATGGAGATTTCTTCAAGTGTTGAAAAACGGAAGCTCCCAGAAGAAAATTCAGAGGTGATGGATGCTGAAATTAAGAACCAAGAACTGGTATCAAAGAAGCAACGGTTTGTGGCACGAACTTGTGTGCATGAGGTAGCTGTTCCAAGTGGGTATACTTCCAGTAAGGACAAAACAGTTCATGGGACATTATCCGATCCAATTTATAGTGGGAAGATGGCTAAAGCATACCCATTTGTTCTCGATCCATTTCAGCAAATTTCTGTGTCATGTTTGGAGCGGAAAGAATCAGTTCTAGTATCAGCACATACATCAGCTGGGAAAACGGCTGTTGCAGAGTATGCAATTGCGATGGCTTTTAGAGACAAGCAAAGGGTCATCTATACCTCTCCATTGAAAGCTTTGAGCAATCAGAAATACAGAGAACTGAGTCAGGAGTTTTCTGATGTTGGGTTGATGACTGGTGACGTCACACTTTCCCCAAATGCAAGTTGCCTGGTCATGACAACAGAGATTCTTAGGGGAATGCTTTACAGAGGATCTGAGGTTTTAAAAGAAGTTGCATGGGTTATATTTGATGAGATTCACTATATGAAGGATCGTGAACGTGGGGTCGTTTGGGAAGAGAGCATCATATTTTTGCCTCCAGCTATCAAGATGGTCTTTCTTTCCGCGACCATGTCGAATGCTACCGAGTTTGCAGAATGGATATGCAACATACATAAACAGCCTTGTCATGTGGTCTACACTGATTTCAGACCCACACCTCTGCAGCATTATGTGTTTCCCATGGGTGGATCAGGATTGTATCTTGTAGTGGATGAGAATGAGCAGTTTAGAGAGGATAATTTTTTGAAGCTGCAAGACACTTTCACTAAGCAGAAGCAAACTGGTGCAAATCTAGGTGGAAATTCCAAACCGAGTGGGAGAATTGCTAAAGGAGGAAATGCTTCTGGTGGATCTGATATATACAAAATCGTCAAGGTGTTTCTATCTGTCCTTTTTTAACCTACTTTAGTAAGGAACTTGTGAGATTCTGTATTTGTTTTTAGTCTTTCTCATCTTCAAATGATAATAATGTTCTTATAACTTTTTGGTCTTCTTATTATTTATTTTTAATCTTCTCTATTGTCTAAAAACAGATTATTAGTTCTAAGTGTCATTCTTTATGTTTCAGATGATCATGGAAAGAAAATTTCAACCAGTTATAATTTTCAGCTTTAGCAGAAGAGAGTGTGAGCAACATGCAATGTCGATGACCAAACTTGATTTCAATAGCCAGGAAGAGAAAGATGTGGTGGAGCAAGTCTTCCGAAATGCAATACTGTGCTTGAGTGAGGAGGATAGAAACCTCCCTGCAATTGAGCTGATGTTGCCTATGTTGCAGCGAGGCATTGCTGTTCATCATTCTGGCCTTCTTCCTATTATCAAGGAACTGGTAGAACTCTTATTCCAAGAAGGCCTTGTAAAAGCACTTTTTGCCACAGAGACGGTATGATTTCATCTTTTTGTATGTTTTTTTCTTCTGTAGATAAGCATTCAAAGCTTAATTAATAGGTTTCACTTGGATTGAATGTGCAACAGTTTGCTATGGGGTTGAACATGCCTGCAAAAACAGTTGTCTTTACTAGTGTAAGGAAATGGGACGGTGATAGCCATCGGTATGTAGGATCTGGTGAGTATATTCAGGTGAGTGTCATATTATAATAGAACAATATGTGCACTTTGTCTGCAATAAGTTTCTGATTGTTTAGTTGTCTTTGTTTACTATAGATGAGTGGAAGAGCTGGACGTCGTGGCAAAGACGAACGTGGTATATGCATCATAATGATTGATGAACAGGTATGAACTAAAGCTTGTTACTTCCCCTCTCCCTGGTTTTCGCATACAATCACCCCAGTCATATACACTCAAATGCATGTCCATTCACCTGCACAGTCGAAGATTACTTCCATGGATTGAGAACAATACTAAATTGAAGGTAGGAAGAAGTGAATTCTCTGTTTCTCAAAATAAGAGATCAGACTTGCATATAAGAACGGACTGGTTAAGCTGAACTGACACCTGACCAAGTGAATGGGGTTCTTGTGGCAAATGGGAAACCACCAACTGAAAGCAAATTAACAATCTAAATAATTAAACCATAAACCCAGAAATTGCATCATAATGCTCTCCCTTGAGTTGATGGGGTTAGAGAGGTACTAGCCCCAAGCTTGCTTATAAAGTGGTAATGGAGGGTACAACTCAAATCCTTGGTTAACAAGTCAGTTGATTGTTACTTGGTGGAAAAAATATGGTTGGTCTTCAAATGTCAACAGGATTAGAAGCGATGGGTATTGCTGCAATCCATCACAGTAAACAATAATGGGGAGGTCAATATTAAAATCCAAATAAGACAACAAATCAGTCACCAAACCTCACTCTAATCATAAAAAATGATATGATGTCCAGCTGAATTGCTGCACCAAACTTCATACTCTTGTCCCAGTAGGTCATAAACTTTACTTCATTTATGCTTTGATAAAAGTAAACCTTGATATGAAGTGCCCCTGTGGTCTGTGTACTTTGATGAGAGCAGTATCTTGAGGCTTTTCAGACCATGCTTTAATTGACTCAAAAATCCAAGTCATGTTCCATTATCATATATTTTTAATGCGTTTCGAGCCTGTAGGCCCTCTGCCATCTAGAAGAAGCACCAAACTGTAGGTCACATTTGGATCAAGTGTTTTTGTTTTCTTGTTTATAGTTAGGATCCTCAATAGCTTGTGGTTGTGTGGTCGGTTCAACCAGGATACAAGTAGTGTTGAGATAGATAAAATGATCAAATGGGGATGATCAAGATTAACAATGAGAACAAGCTATACATGGTTAAAGGTGAGTTTGAGAATAACCAAGATGTAAGGAAGGGAAACTATGAAGATCATAAGTTCCTAACTATGTAATTTCTTTGGATTATTGTACTTTATGCTATGATTTTACCTCAGTAATGTCAAAGTTCGGGAAAAAAAATCCTAATCCTTAATATCACTCACCTGTGTTCTCTACAATTGTCAGTATAAGTTGACCCCAAATATGTGATGTGACCCTAGTTCACTCTAATGAAGGTTTTCTAGTTAGTGACACTCTTCTGGAGACTGGTCATGGAACTGAAGTGGAGATGACAGCGAAAATTATGTTTTTTATCTGGTAACATCTTAGTCATATAGTGTCTGAATCAAATAGTTGATGATAACAATATATATTCTTCATTTCAGATGGAGATGAATACTCTCAAGGACATGGTCTTGGGGAAACCAGCTCCACTGGTCAGTACCTTCAGGCTGAGCTACTACTCAATTTTGAACTTAATGAGACGTGCTGAGGGCCAATTTACGGCAGAGCATGTTATCAGAAACTCTTTTCACCAGTTTCAGTATGAAAAGGTTTCTTCTAAGCCAAACTCTTACCACCTTATCTGACTTGGTTGGTTTTAGAACCATAGCTTCTAACATATGGTTTCACCTATTTCAGACCTTACCTGATATAGGAAAAAAGGTTGCCAAGTTAGAAGAGGAAGTAGCCAAGCTTGATGCTTCTGGAGAGGTAACTAATCCATCCTCACCCTAACTAAAGTACTTTGATTGTAGTCTTTCAGTTTCTCAATGCATAATGAATCCCTTTCTCTTTTATATTCTTACGTAGGCTGACGTTGCTGAATATCATAAGCTTAAGCTTGAAATATCTGAACTTGAGAAGAAGATGATGGCAGAAATAACAAGGCCTGAGAGAGCTCTATATTTTCTTCTACCTGGTAGGCTGGTATGTGGTGAGATAGATGATTCATTTTCATTTATTTTGATACTAATCAACATCCCCTTGTTGGTAGATTCTTGATTGTTATGAGTAATTGAGTATCTTGCATTTGTGAGCAATGCATGCATGCATGCATATCCATTTTTTATGGGAAAAGTTTAAAAAACCCCAATGGACTTTAGTGTTTAGAATGATTAAGTTCTTGGACATTCCAAAACTTATTAAATAACTCCTTGGACATTCCAAAACCTGTTAGATACATTTTTATGACCTAATGGTTAATGTGATAAGATAATTAAAAAAATATGGAAAAAAAACCAATAAACTTTCATATTTTGAACGATTAAGTCTCTAAACAAATTTTAAACCAAAAAAGTACTTACATCTATAAAGTGAAATAAATATACCATTAAAATATTTATATTTACAAAAAAGTACTTATATTTAAAAAAGATTATTGATGAAATATATTTTAATTAAAAATTAAATATTTTCTGTCAATGATTTTTCAAGTTAAAAAAAATAAAAAAAAGATTTAAAAAAGAATACGTTGTTGATTTTTCAAATTAAAAAAAATAGAAAATAATTTGATTCAATTACTGACCGGATTAACGATAAAATATAACTAAATTCATAATTAGATAAAAATCTTCACTAATCTGTCGGTGAAATGATATCACCGACAATATTCAAGCACGATTTTTCACACTTATTAACATGTTACTATGTTAGAGCGTCTAACGGTGGTCAAGTTAGCCATCAATTAGATATAAGTAATCCATGCATATATACCAATGAACATTAGTGATGAATTTTAATTAATTATTTATTTAGTTAAAATTTATCGTTAACCCGTCAGTAATTTAATCAAATTATTTTCTATTTTTTTAATTTGAAAAATCACCAACATAATATATATTATTTTTAACTAAAATAAATTTCATCAGCAATCCTTTTTAAATCTTTTTAATTTAAGAAATCATATATGAAATATATTTTATTTTTAATTAAAATAAATTAATCAGTAATTTTTCTAAATCCTTTATTATTTTTTTTCATTTGGAAAATCACTGATGAAATATTTTTTATTTTTAATTAAAATAAATTTCATCAATAATCTTTTCTAAATGTAAGTATTTTTTTGTAATATAAGTACTTTTTGGTATATTTATTTCATTTTATAGATGTAAGTACTTTTTTGTTCAAAAAATGTTTAGGAACTTAATAATTCAAAATATGAAAGTCCATTGGGGTTTTTTTAGATGTTTTCCATTATTTTATCATATTAACAAGTTTTATAGGTGATAAGGATGTATTTAACAGGTTTTAGAAAGTCCAAGGAGTTATTTAATAGGTTTTAGAATGTCCAAGGACTTATTTGTTCCAAAAAATTGTCCAAGGACTTAATCATTCCAAACACTAAAGTCCATTGGGTTTATTTTAGACTTTTCCTTTTTTTATACCAACTAGATTGCTATTTATTCAGTGTCTGTTTGCTTCTTGATCAGTCAGAGGTCAACATTTAATGCTGTCTTTTGTGGCAAGATGCACTTTGGATTTGGCTAAGTTCATCTTTGGCTTGTTTGTAACTCTTTCTTATCCATTCAACCTTACACAATGCAGGTTAAGGTTCGAGAAGCTGGAACAGATTGGGGGTGGGGAGTGGTTGTCAATGTGGTGAAAAAGCCTGCCCCACCACTAGGCTTATTGCCCCCTACCATGTCTTCATCACGTGGTAGTAGCTATATAGTGGACACTTTGCTTCATTGTTCTATTGGTTCAAGCGAAAGTGGTTCTCGTCCAAGGCCATGTCCACCACGTTCTGGACAGAAGGGCGAAATGCATGTGGTGAGTTATGACTTTTGTATCTGGTAATGGTTGATTCAGTTTGTTAATTGGCAATCTGGTTCGAGTTGCTCTTTAAATTAATGAAGGTGATTAAAATTGCACCTTCAACGTCGTCGACTATATTTTATCTCTTTCTTATATAAATTCAAAACTAGGATTGTTATTGACTGTACGAGTCAAGTATATGATGTAAACTAAACAACCTTTTCAGGTTCCTGTTCAATTGCCCTTGATATCAGCATTGAGCAAGCTCAGAATATCAATTCCTCCTGATCTCCGTCCAATGGAAGCACGACAAAGCATACTATTGGCAGTACAGGAGCTTGGAAAACGTTTTCCTCAAGGTCTTCCAAAACTTAATCCTGTGAAGGTATATACGAGCTTCTTTAAATTGAACTGCACATTGCTTTGAAATTTACAATGTGGATGCTTGTGCTGAAAGTCTGATAAGAATTCCCTTTTTAATGATTTTTACATCTACATGTAGGTGTTGGAGCCTATATATATCAGAGTGTATGTATTGATCACTATCAACTGAAATTTGTTGTTCCATAAGTATGTCTTCTTTTAACATGACAAATTAACAACTGAAGGTGACATGAGAAAGCATCATAGTCTGCCAAAATTGATTGTCATGGTTTCTGTTTCTGGCTGAGTTTTATTAAAATACTTTGTTTTGTGTTACTGAAGGTATTATGGTGCATGTCTGTGTTAACATACAGTGACGAAATTTAGCTTAAAATGAAGAGGTATGGGACATTACCGAATTGATTTCCTTGTGTACAAAGTCAAGGCTAGGCAGTCTCTCTGGACCACTGTAACCAAAAGATTAGATGCTTGAATATTTGATGGTGTTACTTGTGATTTCTATGTTAATCACAGATTTACGTTTTTGGATTTTTTAGAGTCACTACTGAGAAGCTGGCCACTTTTCTTTCTCATGTAAGATAATTGCTGGAATTATTTCTTCTGACTTGTTCAGCTTGGACCATATTGGTGCCCTTATAGTTTTTCCACTCAGTTATGATGTGGATGGTCATGGGTATAATTTAAAGTTGTAGCCAGTGTGTGCATGTGGCATATGTAAGACTCTAACCAGAGCTACAACTGACAGATGCTTCTTGCATGTGGCCATGTCCTAGGGTTTTTTGTTTCTCACAACAATTATCATATAAGCTATCTTTCTGCATGAATGAAGTTTGCACTCTCCTACAAAGTAACCTGACTTATTTTTTCTGGTCGTATATCAAATAACATGCTTTGCCCATAGCAGGTTCTTTTTAAAATTAAATGCTATAATTCCTGTATTGTTCAACTTCTACCGATAACCTGTTTATTTGAAAGTTATTAATCTCCAGTACATGATTTGTCTTCAGGATATGGGCATAGAAGAACCTGAGTTTGTGCACCTGGTAAATCAGATTGAGAAACTTGAACAGCAATTGCTTTCTCATCCATTAAACAAGGTTTGGGCAACCATGCATTTATATTTAATACTGCAGTTCTTTTTCCAAATCAAGTTTCACTTAGCACTGCCAAATATGATCTGTCCTTTTCAGTCTCAAGATGAAAACCAGATGAAATGTTTCCAGAGGAAAGCAGAAGTGAATCATGAAATTCAGCAGTTGAAAACAAAAATGCGTGATTCGCAGGTAATTAAATGCTTCTCAGCATATGTCCATGAATGTTCTGCATTTATATTTCACGTGCATCATTTCATAGGGGGTGTTTGAATGTGAGTCTTTGAAGTGAATGTTGCGACTTAACAAATCATAATCATAATCAATTGATTAAAGCTTGGGATAGTTAGGTAATTTTGCATTTATCTTAGTAATTAGTTTTCTTACAGTAATTTCTTGCCTATTTTCCAAATCTGATTATTTTGACCCTGAATAATCAGAAGATCAGAATAAGTTTTTGCGAAACATGTGTTGCGTCTTCAAGTCGCTCACTTTAGACACATCCAAACACCCCCTTAGTTTATATTACATTGGCAGTAGACTTGAGCACAGGATGGATTAATCCATTTGCATAGCGTTCTATAATTGAGTCATGTAAATTCGTAGGCATACATCTCTTAAACATGTAATTTGGTTATGTGCATGGGCCATCGCACTTATCAATCATACAATGTGCCAACTATGTAATCATTTGAGACTTCTGGAAAATTTCAAGCACATGCAATTCTAGTTATACCTTCATTTTGGGAAAAAAGCAAAATGGCTAGTTATACCTTGGCATGCTGCAGCACCAATGAAGTTCAGGAGTTGAATTTTGATGCTACGAGAATTATAACAATAGTGAGAATGTAGTAATAAACAACTTTTGGTAGTTGTTTAAACATGTTAGACATTCTTAGTTTACGTTACTTTGTATTATTATTATTATTATCTGTTGCCACCTTATACGAATCTTTTATTATTCTTTTTTCTTTGTTTTTGGGAGGGGTTTTTTTGTGGGGGGGGAGGGGAGGGCTGCAAGCGGAATAAATAGATAAAGTTCTAATGGTATCTAGGCATGCTGCAGCAGAGGAGTTCAGGAGTTCAAATGTTGATGCTATGAGAATAACAGAAGTGAACATGTTTTTTATCTTTTGTAGTTTTGCAGGAAATGATCCTTAGTCTTGGTTTACATTTTATAAATATTTCATAAATGTGAATTAGGGCCTTCTAGCATATGCTGTCTTCTTTACATTCTTCTATTTCCTGTTTTTTTGCGTTTGTTTCACTGGCCAAAGTAGGGGGCGGAGGGGAGATGGTTCAGCTGCAGGTGGCAGAGAGCTAAATAGAACTACTGTTAAATGTCTTCCTGTATGATGAAATTGCTGAACTTTCGTTGTCTGTCAAGCAGTTGTCTTGCATATTTCATGTGGTAATGCATTTTTGCTTCGTGCAGCTTCAAAAATTCCGTGATGAACTAAAGAACCGATCACGGGTTCTAAAGAAGCTTGGACATATTGATGCTGAAGGAATAGTGCAAGTGAAGGGCCGTGCAGCATGCTTGATCGACACAGGAGACGAACTACTGGTCACTGAATTGATGTTTAATGGTAATTGTAAAGCCCCAATTCCTACTTTGGGTGCAGTTACCTTCTTATTGATACTACTAAGTCTTGTATTTGAATTTGAAATTTAACTTTATTTATAACTTAGCTTATAATTATATTGGAGTTCAAATACTAGTGGAAACGTAACTCAATAGCGTATAATACAACAAAATTTTTGCTATTAATTAGAACAATACTTCTTCATGCTATCCTTCTTTACTCCTTCCCTGAAATACATACATGAGATACGTAAGCTAAAAGCTTAGTGAGTAGTTATTGTTTCATGAATAAACAATTTTCATGATGCTTAACATTTTGTGAATAGTAATTCACTAAAACTAATGATTATGCAAAAAATATTCTTTTTATCATGCATAAACATTTTTTTTGAGATCTCACTTGAAACATGCAAGTATGCGACACTTGCCTTGAGGTTTGCTAACCCTCGGGTCCATAAAGGCTGCCCCATAAGGTCCGTTTGCAAGACGTCCCTTCTTGTAACATCCTGTACATTGGATATTTATGGTCATACTTGACATGTAAAAACTTTCATGCCTTGTGTAACACATACTTGTATTATAACATGCAAACACTTTCATGCCTTGGTGTAAAACACATACTTGTATCAAAAAACGTCATCATGCGTCTCTTGTATAACATTTTCATGTAAAGCAAACATGCCAAAATATCTTGTCATGCATAAAATACTTATATGTACCATGTATGTACCTCATAAATCTCATAAGTACTCACCTTGATTATGCCTAGCTTTTCCCTTAATTCCTTTCTTTAAGCTCGATTATGTATAAAGAGAGAGATTTCTTATTTTTGGTATGGAGCTAATAGTAACATTTCAACCCTTATGTATAGGTGAATTCATTGCATTAACTATTTTCTTCTTGCTCCCAAAATTGAACTCTTATGAGAGTTTAACACCTCATTTTTGAGGATAAGAGAATCTTGACACCTCATGCTTAATATAAAGGAATATTGACACATCATGCTTCTAGCTTTTATTTTCCATGCTTCTAGCTCTTGCTTGTCATCATAAGTTTTGCTAACACATGCTTCTAGCCTTGATAACTCATAACTAGCGTGCTTTGTCATGCTTAGTAGACTTGCTTAGTCATCAAATAGCTTGCTAACACATACTTCTAGGCCTTACAACTCATCACTTTAGGTTTGATTTTTCATGCTTTGCCTTGTAAGCTACTTGCCTTATAAATATGATAGTTTAATAAACGCTACAGCTGCTGAATAGTTTTAGGAGTACTTAATTTACTTATAAAATCTTGTATTTAAGGCTTAAACATTGAGATTTAGCAAACAAAGAAACTAGGGTATTATAGTAATTCTTTCACTCTCGATACTTCCTGCGTCTACACAACTTCTGCTCCAACATGGATTTATTATGTGTTTTTCGATTTCAGGCTATGTTTGACTGATCTTATAAATGGTCATCAAACATGGCTGCCAGTCCTCTTTCACATTATCACGTAAATGAATATTGGTTCTGTAAGAACATAAGAATCTGTTGCAATCAATGCTGGTTAATTTTGTTGAAATCAATATTATGCATTGAAAAAAGTTGTTGCTTGATGATACAATAGTTTAGATGTTAGTATGTATATATGGTGGTTGTCGCCAACTACTGTGGAGCCAGTAAAGCTCATTGTTGTCAAGGTTGTAGCATCTTTTGTGATAGGGATCTGTAGATCTAGGTTTGATCTTGATCATGCTTTTGCATACGAAATTATGTTAGGGGATGTTGTACACTGCAACATACAATCACCATGTGCTGGGTGTCTTCACCTTTCCAGGAGCTGGTTTTATCCCAGAGAAAGGAGGGTCAGATTTAGTAGCTGTTAGTCAGGTATGGCTTTTATAGCATGCCATCCAAAGATTAACAGACTCGAGGGAATTAATGTATGATAATGAAGGTATTCATTTCAAGTGATGTATCATCTCTATGATTTGTTGGCTTGGTGCTTTGAAGTTACATATTCTTTAATACTCAAGATTACATAGGCTAAGTGTGTCCAAATATAAGCATAATGGCTCCAAGGCACAAATTTGTATACATATCTTTATACTATATTTCATTTTTCATACAGAATTTACAGAGAAAAGTTCTGTCTATCTCGAGATGAAGAATGCCTTTCAGTAACCGTTCAATTGCAGGCTTATAGTAACATTAAAGATCACCATTCTAGTGACAGTCAATCCATATGCCAATATGCATTAATTTGAGATATAGTGGGTAATATCACATACTAAGGCTATGAGTTTTTATGAACCTGTTTCAAGTGAAGATATAAATCTGTACTCTAATAGAACATCTGCCTATAGAATCTAGAGGAATGTTACCTCTACCCTTGAAACTTTAAGATGTATGGTGTTGGTAGAAAGATGGTATCGCTGAACGGTCACGCATGAGAATAAAAACTTTTGAGTGATTCAAGGAGATGAACACTTTGTGACCCTTTCTAAGGCCGCTTTCTTCAAAATGCATACAAAATCTTTAGGCCGGGAAAGGTTGTGTAGGAGCAATAAAACAAGTTTGTTTGAAGCATACTTGTTAAATTTACCTGCACGGCATAGATTCTGATGATATTTTTTTTCTTGATCAGGTACCTTCAATGATCTGGATCATCATCAAATTGCAGCCCTTGCAAGTTGTTTTATTCCAGGAGATAAATCAAGTGAGCAAATACATTTAAGATCAGAACTTGCTAAACCGTTGCAACAACTTCAAGACAGTGCACGTAGAATAGCAGAGGTGAGTTGCATCATTGCGCTCTTACTTGGGAGTTATTGACTGAAGGTCACAAAACTAATATGTTCAATTCGCAGATACAACATGAATGCAAATTGGAAGTTAATGTGGATGAGTATGTGGAGGCAGCAGTTAGACCATTCTTGATGGATGTCATATATTGTTGGTCAAAAGTAAGTTACTTCCTTGTCCTTCCAACTTATCTGTTTGATAGCTTCATCATTTTTACCTCATTCTTTGAAAATCTTTTCTCTCATATATTAGGCAGATTTAGATGGATGTTATTCACTCTCTTCACAAGCAAAATGTAAATTCACAAGAAGACTTGTATAGTACTTTTAAAATGTTTTTGGCTATAATGTTCTAGTATGTCTCAAAGATATTTACTTGAATGAATATAAGTCATCCAGACATATGATCACCAGAGCTCTGAATACGCATCTTGTACTTCTTGAAAACATTGATGTAGCTAGAATTATAGACCAATGTATCTGGATTTGAAACATATCTGCATGAATATATGCACCGCCAGATGGTACAGCAGGAACAATAATTTACCTAGAATCAGTTAGTCTAGCACCTGCCAACTGAGCAGCCAAGGATATTTAACGATCTTCATACTCTTTAGATTAATTCCTAATGGACTTAAAATTTACCTTGTAATATTTGTTACTATTTACGGTCGGTAGAAACAATGACAATGCTTTTATGTTCTTCCAGGGATCATCTTTTTCTGAAGTTATACAAATGACAGATATCTTTGAAGGGAGTATTATTAGACTTGCTAGAAGGCTTGATGAGTTTCTTAATCAGGCAAGTTGATCCATGCTGAAAAAGTTCAATATTATTGTAGTTTAAGGTGTGGAAATAATTAATCTCCATCTGAGCTCAAGCCTGAAATGGAGAAAAAAGGTTCAAAATAATAAGTATTTCATATGTTGGTTTCTTTTTTCGATGACATCTTTTGACTTTTTACATCTAACGTATTTTAGTTGCAACCAACATGAAAATAAATCAGGCCAAATTGTTTAAAATGCTAGGGCTTTGTTTCACTGAAGATGTGAAAACCCCCCCAAATGTGATGGTACTTTGGTGGTTGCCCAGATAAGAAGAATGAAATCATGGCAACCGCCAACATTACCCCAAACTTACCATGTTTTTTATTCAAAAAACAATATTGGTAACTGTAGAAAGCTTCATTCTAACTAATACCAACAATATTTATTGATCGACTATATCAGTTGCGTGCTGCTGCACATGCTGTTGGAGAAGCTGGTTTAGAGGACAAGTTTGGTGCAGCCAGTGAGAGCCTCCGTAGAGGTATCATGTTTGCAAATTCTCTATATCTGTGAGTACGATTATCTTAGATTTGGAAAATGCTCGTTAGCGTGATAGATACACCACATAAAGTTTGCTGGTGTAGGATTCTATTGATTCATATCAAAGGGTCACTTTTAACACAGTAGTTGTTTGCATTCCTGTTGGATGAGATGTTGTACTAGTGTACATTGGCAGTTGTATTTGTTAAAACTCTATGGAAAGAATAGTGTCAGATTGATACACTGTTGCTATCTACATCCTCATAATCATCTTATTCTGATCTCATGTGTGAGTCCATTACATGAGTCTACATGGATCCCATGGCAATGGATTCTTAGATTACGTTTGACAAACTAACTGATAAGCTAATAAATTGGTTGTAAGCCGATAAACTAGTCGATAAGTTAGATGATAATGTAAATGGCCTAGGACATGTTGAAAAATTAAATAAAAAAGAATAGAGCCCTTGGAGGTTATTGAAACACTACTTGAAGTTGAAGTAGTTTTTCATAATTTAGCTTATGGTTAACCATACAGGGCTTTTTTTAATAAACTCAAAAAATAAGTTAGCTTATGGTTTTCAAACCTAGGCTTGGTTTTAAATACAAAAACATAATAGATCAGTTGGTAGTGGTTTCTTTTGTCTTGAAGAAAAAAACCTCTACCCCCTTGAGGTAGTGGCTGTCTATGCGTCTTCAAGCCCGTTTGAATAATTTTGTTGGAAATCAACTATTTGAATCCAATTGGTTGGTATGTGGTGGTGGTTATTACGTAGTTTTGAAGTTGCGTTACATGGTTTATGCGAACAAAATCAAAATGGACTGTATGTGGTGGTGGTTATTACGTAGAATGATCTAACTCATGCATTGATGGGCTGTACATCGTGCATGACTATAAATATTGTACAGCATGATGGGTTGTACCCAGTATATCGAAATCCCGAATTATCCATTACAATCTATAAATAACCATAATCTGAAGCAAAACTTCAAAGTAAATACTACCCTAAAACCCCTCTCACGAAGAGAAGACTTTGCTTCCCCTTCCTCCATTGGCATTCTTTGTCGTTTTCATCGCTGCCGAACATAGATATTTAACTTATTTTGGGTTCGTTTTTGAACCATACTTTATATTTCATTTTCGTTATTTTATATCTATATATGTATATAAAACCTTCATGCTACAGCCATCCCGGCAGGTAATTGCATAGGACTGGAGCATGGAGAATCGGCGCATTCAGGCTGTTTCCTCACCCCCAATGCATACTTCTCTTTGTGTTCATCAATGGAGATCTGCTTGTATCGACATTCTTCGCTACAAAATGCTTTCTCACCTCTACAAACCAAAAATAAAGGAGCAATCAGCTACACAGATAGAAAAACCAAACCAAACCAAACCAAACCACTGTTATATCTCACTAGAAAGTAGGGTAGTTGGATGCAAAGGCTATCCCCTATCCCGAAGAATAGGATGATTGTTTCTATAAAAGATCCCCAACTTGTGCAAAAGTGTGAGTAAAAAAGAAAGTAAAGGACCAAGGTTAGTAAATAGTTGCCAACAAAAAAAAGGAAAAGGAACAAAAGAAATAACCAAGGAAACACATACATCCCTCCATCTATGTCTAACAGCTTCCTAACCTTCCCTATCCTGTTAGTTAGCAGCTTAATGGGACTTTTTGGTAGTGTAGAAAGTGGTTTCAGTAAGCTTCTAGAGGAGAGGTTTATGCAGTGTTTTTCAAACATGCCCCTTCCGATTAAAAAACACGCTTCTTCCGTCTATGAAAAACCTTTCCAAACAAGAACCTTTCTAAATATATAGAGACATGGTAATCCACACGGATATAGGACTTAATAGAAAACCAACCAAACAACCCCCAACTCCATTCACACTGGTTACAGGTCAGAAAAAAACAGGTGAAGGACAGAGACATCCTGCCCCCACACCCCACCTCCAGGTGAGATATACATCAGTTTGGTTTTGGTTGGGATATAATGGTTATAGTTAATTGCAGTTGGATTTCATCATCAAAACATGGTTTTCCAGAATTTTTCTTAGAGGGAACATTCATTTGATGCACAACTACAATTAGCTATGAATTTTTCTGATCAAGAGCTAATTAAATACCCATTTATAAGACTACAATAATCAAAACCAACATCACTCCCAACTGTTGGATCCAAGAATCTATGCACTTTGTTTAGACCAAATCAAGAAAATCTTAAGTTCCAAATTTTGCAAGAACAAGCATAAAATCAACTTATAAACAAGAAACCCAGATCGTTAATTTAACAAAGCTCCAAAGAAGATTAAAGAAATTAAGGTTTCCATACCTGTACATGAATATATCCAATCCATGAAGCTTTTTCTTGCAAAGATTGCAAGAACTCAAGAAATCACCATCCTGAAACACCGTGACACCACCAATAGCCACCGGAGGAGAAGGAGCACAAAACACTCCACCACCACCATTAGCACTAACCCAATAGCTAGTACTACCACCACCATTAACACCAACAGTCTTAAACCCATCATCAAAATACTCCCTTTTCTTGATCAAATTATTTCCCACATGTGATATCACACAGGTATACTCCTCCAATAGCTCAATTTCAATATCATCTTTAATGGGTCTCTTGCTAAATATGGGGATAGGGTTGGATCTGGGTGAAGCAGAAAAAACCGGGTTTGGAGTATTATGATCCGATGATGATCCATTATTCAAAGCAACCACAATTCCCAGCCCTACGACACCGTTTTGTTCTCCAAATCTCTTCTGCGACTTGTTTTGATAATTGGGATTTGATGAACATAAGAAAAAGGGTAGGGTTTTTTGTGTTAAGCTTGACTTGTTACTGTTCTTTCCCTTCAAATCTGCCATTTTCAGACGATATTTTATCAGGGTTTTGGTTTTTTTTTTCTTTTCAAAATTCAATCTGTTTATTCATCACAAACAAAAAGGGTTTTGGAGGATGATGATGAAAATGGAGACTTTGAACAGATTTGATAGTGTGTGTATATATATATATATACATACATATGTACGTATATGTGCCTGTTTTTAGAGGAAGTGATTTATAAGAGAGAGAGAGAGAGAGAGAGAGAGAGAGAGATGGCTTAAGAGAGAAGGCCACCTGCTCTCTTCCTCTGCTTCTTCTCTGAAATAGGTTCAAGTGCTTTAAGAGGAAGAAAGAGAATAAAGAAGCCACAATGGCATAGTTGTAGATAATTGATAATTGAGGGGTTAATTCTCTTTCAACGATCTCTATCTAGTTTTTCATTTTACTCCCATGGAGTTTATGTGTTCATATATTTTACTCCCTTGTGGGTTTTTTTTATAACACATCTTTAATGTTTTTACAAACATACCCAAATCTAGAATTCAAACTCAAAACCATAAAGAAAAATACAGAATGAGCCGAAATTGGATCAAAAAATTCAAACACGACAATTACTTTGATACATAAATAAATAAATATATAGAGAGAGACTCAGAGGGAAAAACCATAATAAATAAAAATTGAGAAATAACTCTAATAATTATTCGTTTGTACGGTATATATTTGTGCATAAAAAGTAAAAGAAAATGTTGCATGGTTTCTATCCACATATACACATGTGCATACCAGACAAATGACTTTTATGCGTATGAGCATACTAAACAAAAAAATATTACTTTTAAGCACATATACGTACCGCACAGATTAATGGTTATTTGGGTGTTCATCGTTTTTTTTCCTTTGTGGTTTCTCCTTGAACAAACCCTATATACGTGCGTATATATGCATGGTTAGGTTCTGGTGAAAAAAAAAAAGAATCTCCACCATTTGATGCATATTAGGATGAGGTGCATCATATCAATCTTCATATCAAACGTCATTCATGGATGAATTTGAGATTAAAAGTGATCAAAAGTCCATATCTCTTTTTATCTTCTCATCTTGACTCTTCGCACATGATCTTTCGTCTCTCCATATATAATTTTATATATATATATATATATATATTATAAAAGGAGATTTAAATGCAAACGACACCTATTTAAGAAAATAATAAAATAACTCTAAACCAATTTTTTTTTTAAACAATTCCAAAAATATTAATATCCAAAAATCAGGTTAAAAGGACATGTTTGTCAAACCAGCCTATTGTAAGATGGGATTTCGTTATTTTTCTTCAAAATCCAAGCTGGTGAATGTGGCGTTTGAGAAAGTTTTGGAAATGATTGTAGTTGGCTATTTGAAAGGGATAATCATATCCCTAGTTTTTCGTCCCCGTAAACTTATCAATTCAATCAAAAAAGATTTCTTCTTATTTTAGGTATCGTTTATCAAATACTTACCCGGTAAGTGCTTCCCGGTAAAATTTAACACTACTATTTACTGACAAAATAAGATTTTAGTCCACCAAAACGACATTGCATGTAATAATTTACATGGTAAGCGCTTACCGTAGTAAGAGTCGTCGCTCTCACTTACCGGGTAAGATTCTTGGTTCGTACCATATTCATCCGGTGAGGTAATTTGACTTGGTAAGCGCAAGGATATGTAGAACAGATCCAGATTTTGTTGAAAATTGTGTGATAAAACAAGGATATGTAGAATAGATCATGTGAATTATTTTTGTGAATTCATATTTACAAAAGTACTGGTGTACTAAAACTGATCATGTGAATTCTTTTTGTCTAGCAAACTTTTCATTTGGCAAAGGCCAACAACCTTTCAAATATTCCTATGCAATTTGGAAGTAGAAATTGTACTTGCCTAAGTTTCTACCATCATAACAAACTCTCATAATGATTAAACAAAATTATTCACTATTTGCCAAACAAACCTAACGGATTGCCGAACCATATCAATGTGGCATTGCTTGCCAACACTTGGTATTTGTAATCCACAACATGTTTTTTTCTCTAAATAGATGCCCTGAAGGTGAGCTTATAATCATTATACGTATTTTATGGCTAAAAGTTTCTTAGTTGTGTAGGTGGCATAACATGTTTTTGACAAAGACGTTCCAATCTTTTTAGAGGCCCTGTTACATCTAAAACTTTTGATTACATTGCATAAATGAGATAACAGAATATATATGTTAAAAACAAAAATGTACTAAACCTAAAACGATTAAGAATATGAAACTAAACATAAACCATTAATTAATGATTTGAACCTAAAACCAAACAATTAATGGTTTGAACATAAATAATTTTGGCTATACTTTTACACAACTCGATAAAAAGACCCTAAATACAGGTAAATTTGGGCCCCAAAATTTCGGGAACCCTGTTCACAATCTCACATTTAACATGCTAAGGGACGAACCTGGTTTTTGAAGTTTTGGTGTCTTTTTAAAAAAATCTGTAAAATGGACTGTTAAGTAAGGAACAATAATAATATTTGATGTATGGTGGCCGTCTCTTCTCATAAAATGACGGTTGTTGAATAGTAAACAAAATTTCAAGATTATACATACTGATTTTTATTTACAGCTTCTAATTTTTGATAAATTATCGGATGCTATTTATTATTTATGTTAGCTTTTGATTGAAATTGAATGACAAAATATTATCACGAGAATAATAAATATTTTTTAATTTTGTTCGACAGTGATGGTAGTTTAGGGAGGTAAGGAAAGATCAAACCTGGGGGGTTGGTTTGTTAATTTTTGAACTATGGGGAACCTTTCAGCCACTATTAATAACTTAGGGTCTTATAATGTATTTCCTCCTTGTTTTCTTTTCGATATTATTTTGATATTTTAATTATTTTTAGTTTGTGGAATATAATAATTTTCTGCCAATCACACCTATAAAGATTCCTTTTTCATTATTATCTAATGGCAAATGGAGATGATTCATTTTGAACAATCATTTTTATGTGATTTATAAAATACTTCTGTTTATTTTCATAATATATAAAGAGAGAGACAAAGATAAGCGATCAAATGCAAATCAATTATATTTGTATAAATTATTTTTATTTGTTGATTTCATTGTTTAATATTATGAAATTTTTTCATGAAATTGTTTAATCTTTTGAAATTATTTCATATAATACTTTTTTAATTAAGTTGTTTCATATATGATTATGAAATTGTTTCATATAATACATATGAAATTTTAATGGAACTATTGCATGTCTTTCTCCATAATTAATATAATAAATATAATAATATCCATGATTAACACCATCCACAATAGAAATAATTAATAAACTCCGATTTCCCTAAGGCAAGTGACTGAACTTCAAGCTGGGGAAGGAAAAAAAGAAAGAAAGGCTACAAAGGAAAGTGAGGAAGCAAATAACCTCTCATAATTAAAAAAATAAATAAAATAAAAAATTATGATTGGTTGAACGAGTTTTGTACTGTTTGTACAAATAACGTGGTTTGCAAAGTAAACCTCCTCGATACACACACACACACAGAGGATCAAACGAGAACGATACATATTTAAAAGAACATGAAAATAGATGGATCACATGTGATTTTACACTAACATCACATATAAAATCACATGTGATTCATGCGACCATGTTCGACGCCCTGAAGACGCAGCCACAAGTTGCCTACACACTTTTTTTTACCATTAAAGTAAAATCACATGTGATTTTGCACGTGATTTGCCTGTTTTCGTGTTGTTTTAAATATATACTATTCTTGTTTGACCCTAACACACACACACACACACTCTCTCTCTCTCTCTCTCTCTCTCTCTATATATATATATATATATATATATAGTTGGGTTCACGTGAGACCAAAGGTTTTTCGTGAGACTCATAAGACCAATTTATGTTTATTGATCAACTTTATAAGCTAATGATCTAATGGTCTAAAGTTGCATGGTGACAATTTTGTGATTATTGAGAAGTCTCGTGGCGTTTATGAATGTTTAGATTGTCATATTATAGATCTAATCCAAAGGTTGAGAATTGGTTTTACGGGTCTCACGAAAAACCCTTGGTCTCACATGATCCCAAGTCTCTATACATATATATATGGGTCCATTCAAAAGATAATTTGTTAGTTTGTGATAACTGTGAGATCTAATCTCAACCACATATCAATGGATAAATTAGGAAACTAATATTTTTGGTAATTTAACTTAAATTTTTAATTAAAGACATTTTAGGTATTTAATTTTTTTTATGTCTCCTCTGTATCTCTCTCCTGCTTCCGGCCTCTGGTAAATTTACCAAAAATATACCAAGAGACACAATGTGATACCCAAAATACATAAATGTGATATCAAAAACACACGAAGAAAATTTTGAGACCACTACGATACCAACTGTGGTACCATTGTAATACCAACTAGGGTACCATTGTGATACCAACTAGGGTACCATTGTGATACCATCTGCAATATCACTATGATACCTACGTTGTATATATATCAATAATATATTATAAACCATTTGACAAAAACTCTTAAAAACCACTTTTTATGTATAAAGTACTGTTTATTAATGCATGTTACTTAAAACTCAAGATTACAAGTAGATTGTGCGTAAGTACAACTTATTAAAGCTCCATATATGAATTCGTGTAACTAACTGCAGATAAACAGAATCAAATACAAAATAAACATCTCATTTTAAATATAAAAAATCTAAAATATAATTAGGATAATCATTGAATTCTAACAGAATACTTAACTATTATCGTTATAAAATGTTATATTATTAAACCAAAAATAAATTATTTCATTATTAAACTTAAATTAAATTATAATACAAAAAAAATAAAATAAATTACATAGAAAATAAAAACTTTTAAATAGTTGATTTGATATTAACATTGATATATATATTTTTAAAATTTTTATGATATCTTCAAATTTATATTTTGTTCAAAAATAAAATCATTATTGCTTTCTTAAAAACACATAAAAATCGTATTATAACATCGACATAGACAAAGAATAAAATAGAACATTAAAATCGAGATGTATCTCGCTGCATTGCGCGAGTACCCTTTTAGTGTGTGTATATATATATATATATATATATATATACATGTGTGTGTGTTGTATGTGTGTGTGCAATGTGTATGTTTGCAGTGTGTGTATGTGTGTTGCATTTATGGAGGTTGGGTTGGAGAAGAAGGTTGGCATGGAGATGACTACCGGAGTGGAG